TAGTTTCAAATATTGCTACACAAATACTTTCAAATTCTTGAAGAAATAATTTATTCTTGAACTTATTTAATAATCATTGCATTTTGGTTGAATCTCAAAATGGTAACAAAAAAGACATTTAAAACTTGTGAATGATCAAAAACAGTATGTTTCTATTAGTATTTTTTATTTTATTTTTTTTTCACATGGAACAAGAGAGAAGCTCAATTCATCCATGTAATGCGCAAGGTGCACAGGCAAGTTTTGCCACCCCTTTGTTGCAAAATTATAACACTGACATAACAAGCTCAAAATCTAAAATGATCGAAGCATCCGACAATACCTTAATATCTACACTCTTAAAAATAAAGGTGCTTCAATAGGTTCTTCACAGCGATGCCATAGAAGAACCATTTTTGGTTCCACAAAGAACCATTCAGTCAAAGGTTCTTTAAAGAACCATCTCTTTCTTACCTTTTTATAATCTGAAGAACCTTCTTTCGCCACAAAGAAGCTTTTGTGAAACAGAAAGGTTCTTCAGATGTTAAAGGTTCTTTATAGAACCATTTAGACAAAAAGGTTCTTCTATGGCATCACTGTGAAGCACCTTTATTTTTAAGAGTGTACATGATCTAGACATACTACTAATCACAGAAAAAAAAAATGTTTTAGGCATTTTACTTACTTGAATGTTGATTTATCCAGTCTAGAACAACAAGATGATGTGCTTCAAGGGACGTTCGAAGGTTGTGTGAGTTCATGGTCAGGTAAACAGGCCTATTTCTTAAAATCTAGCATCCAACGTAAGGCTAAACAATGGGATTGTTGTGCGAATGTGGTCTTGGAGAGAAAAAATCAAGCTAAAACTGATGTTGTAATATTACAACAGTGGGCCTTACAGGGTTAATAACCAGACCTTCTTTGTTTATGAAGTGATTTAAAGCAAAGATGAATTACTTGAAACTGACCTGTGAAATCTGACCAGACAGCTCAAATTATAAATCATTTTATCAGCTTACAGTTGTGATTTTTTTGGGTTATTTTTTCAGTGTTTGGCTAGTTTTTGTGTTACCCAGCTCCTGGGTCAAATGTAACAACCCAGTGATAAAAATGAATAAAGCTGGGTTAAATCAGCCCATTATGCTGGGTTAAATAAACAACCCTAATTTGCTGGGTAAATTTAACCCAAGATGGGTTCTGTCCTATATTTACCCAGCCCTTAGGTTAATAACAACCCAAATTGGGTTGTTTTTAACCCAGTGTTTTTTAGAGTGAGGGCAAGGCAATGAGACAGCTTTGGATACTGATTTTTTTTTCAAAGTACTTACTCTATAATAGATTTTATTTTTTTTAGTTTTAACAAAAATAATACTACTACTACTACTAATAATAATAAAAATTATGTTAATTCATGACACTTTGTAATACCGGTGTGATGCATTTCTTTTTCATTTATTTCCCCTACTTCCAACTTCCATTATATAGAAAATAATTGTAAAAGATTTGGAACTATCAGAGAAGATCTTCTGTGTATTAAAGTCATGGTGATCTAATTGTTCAGTCATTAATAGTTATTTGTTAATGCTGAGATGTTTATGTGCATGTTTCATTTTCACTCATAACCCACATGACACACAAAACCAAAATAGATTTACAAAAGGAATTGTTTGCAACTGGCCCCGGTTCTCTTAAAATTTCTTGTCATAGATGTTCCGGTAATGAAATGATCTCCGGAAACTAAAAATGATTGGTGATTGTAGTCAAAGATGAGGTTAGGTGTACATCGGTGGCTTGATGTTTGAGGGTCATGGGTCAGACGTATGAATCATCATGCTGACGTTCTCAGTGGAGACATGAGCCGTGACATCTACAACATCTCGTTTTGATGCATCTGATCATTGCACAGAGAGCTTATAAGTGCTTGAGATGGTCCTTCTTCTGTTACTTGAGAAGAGTCGGTCACGATAGACATCAAGTCCTGTTCCTCGACACAATGGTTAGCGATCGGATCTTTCTTCTAACCGTAACCTGCTCCGTCTTAATGCTACTAGTTAGTTGTGATGATTTTCTAGAGATCCGCTCGATAGACGATAACATGAAGGCTCAAGAGGAGAAAGAACTGGTAAGATAACTGGTTTCAGACACTCTAGAATCACAGCATTAACAGATACATTAATTAGGAGAAATATATATATTTTATAGATTGAAGCTCTTCAAGAAGTTCTTGCAAAACTGAGAAACAAACAGATTCCCACTGCAGAGAAGAAGTTTGGCTGGGTTCCCTCGGTAAGTCTGTTAATCAGCAATACAATCATTTACAGTGTCTGTTTACGCATATCTTACACATGAATATAATACAAATGTAATTAGGTCATTGGTATTCTGCAGTACATTTTGAACTCTGGATATGAACTGTATATCAGCGAAATCATGCTTTGGTTGAAACATTTTGTTCTGAGAAAGGACAAAAGGATAAAATACTTCTAAATATATTGCTTAATAGATACATTAATAACTGTTTGTCACATATTTCTGCAGTGTGTAGCAAATACACAGCAAAATCCACTCAAAATAAAACTGTGAACTAATTCAAATCTACCTATGTTAACTTAATACTAATATGAATTCCATTTGTAAAGATGTGAGTGTACTATTGTATCCAATATGAAAGAGTTAGGTCACCCAAAGATGCAGATTCTGTCATCATTTACTCAGCCTCATGTTTTTCCAAACCTAATCTCCGGCACACAAATGTAGATACTTTGAATATTTTTTGTCCATCCTTTAAAAGTCTAGTTAGCGTACTCGACACGATCGTTTGGGTTTCCGTATACCATATTTGATGAGCTCTACGTATGTGTGTTGATCAATGTTTATATGTGAATAAAAGTCCAAATTAAAATCAGTTCATGATCTTTAGAAGACTTGGATTAAATTGCTCGATTACTTTTATGATCATGTCCTTGCTGAAGCTTGAACATGTTGATTGCCTTTCAATGCATGGATAAAAATGATGAGTGAATCTTAAGAATATCCTCATTCTTGTTCCAAAGATAAACAGTTTTTGGGGGGTTTGGAATGACACGAGGGTGAGTAAACGAAGACAGAATCTCATTTTGGGATGATGGGAATATGAAAATGTACTCCATGAAGAATGCTCCACAAAATACCTTGTTGAAAAAAACAGCATATGCTGGTTAGGTATGTTCTGACGCTGGGATGCTGGTTTAAGCTGGTCCTTTGCTGGTTTATGCTGGTCTTTTTGCTGGTCCTTTTGCTGGTTAATAAACCAGCAAAAGGACCATCTTAAACCAGCATCCCACACTCTAAAAAATGCTGGGTTAAATATAACCCAGTGCTGGGTACATATTGAGTTGTTCAGGTTGAGTTATTCAGAGCTTCCTAATGTAATTATGCAATATGAAAACTGTAAAGTCTGACAAGTGCATTAAAGAAACAATGGTGTGTTTAGTGTGATGCGGGTGAGCAGTGTGCGGTTCGCAAAGGCGCTCGCTTCGGGAAGCTGTGCAGCTGTCCAGGAGGAACCACCTGCAGCTTCTCCATCCTCAAGTGCTTGTGAAAACATGCCTCTGTGTGTCATAACCCAGCGTTTTAAGATGATTGTTAGAGATGCTTGTTGTTTCCCCATCACTGTTGTAACATGTTTTATGAATGCAAACTGACACATCAAATAAATGCATGCATTTTTGTACATATCTCTATTTTTTATTCAAAGTCTGATTACTCTGTTAAAAGATGTGGTACAAATATGTTTCATATTATGCTAAACTGACTGTTAAAAATCTTGTAATTTCGTGACCACTAGGTGGCGCAAAGATTATTCAATCTATTTCAGTCCATGAAAATGAAACCTAAATGAATAAAGGGCTGGTGTCATATCAAAGCTAGCAAATTAGTCTAACTAGACTAGTAAAAGTTAAACTGATGGATTAGTTTATTCAAATATATTCAAATGTATTTCATAAAAAGACAGGCTTGCTGGTTGACATGGCAGTGGAATGCTATCAGCATCATTGTATCATTATTGGCACGCACTTTGTACCTCATATCAACTAGTTAGGAGTCAACATGAAATATTTGCACTTTGTAAAAATTATTTGCCACACTGCAGCAAACTACCATTCATTAAAAGCAATAAAACATTCATCCTATATTCCTTTAATTTTACATGTTGTGTTTAGCACATTTTTTCACATATCAGCTCCCTTTTCTTTTTTAATTTGTTCCCAAAAAAATGTATGTAGCCTATAAAAGGTATTTTATAAAATGTAGAAGCTTTGTTTGCAAAGAGCCCACTTATCTAGCATTTTCCTAATAAAATAGATGTCATTGTGAAAATAAAAAAAGCACATCAAATACACCAATTTCTATCATAGACCCAGTTTTCTGTTAACACGAGTTTCTAAATCTTTCCAAAATGCCAATTTGCAATCTATTTATCAACTGATTGGACGCAGATGACGTTACCCACTATTCCCCGCCCCTTGCATATAAATTGTGGGTGTTTCCCAGAGCGCATCGCTTGTATTAGGCTACCGTTGGGCAGTCCAATTCATTTGAGGGGGTCGGTTCGTTCGAACGATTCATTTCAGTGAACCGATTCTTTCGAGTCTAAATTGTTTGCCAGAAGTCCACGAGCAGCATTTTACGTGTCATTGTAGCAGCATCCACGAGCAGCATCATTGTTTTGCACCTACATTTAATGTTTGGCTGTTATCACCATGTTTTCGATTAAATTATTATCAATATAGATATAATGTATTTGTTCGTATTCAGTACCCTATAAATGTATGCGTACCAGATTCATTCGCTCTAACTATCATTGTTTTATCTTTTAAAAAATAAATAATAATAATAATAAGTGTCAAATATGTATGCTGTTGCTCCAATTTTTTTTCTCACGTCATGTTCTCCGCAAAAGATCCAGAGAGAATCGGTTCGACCGAATCATTAGAGAGAACCGAGTCAAACGAACAATCCGCTCGCGAATCGGTGTAAACTTTGCAACATGGCGGAGGAGCACAGCGGCGAGTTGGCAAGCATGGAAAACTCCAGCCGACCTGGTTTCTGCAGCGACAAGTACTCTTTGCTGGTCATTGTTGGACAGCCCGGTCCGGCCGGATTTGTGGATTTACTGGTGTCAGAGATTGAAAGAGGTAAAGTTTCGTCTTACTGTAGGATGGTGAGTGAGCGCTTTCCCCTCGCCCCTCACTCGCGGAGCTGACGTCATGAAGAGAATTATCGCTGGATACAATGTAACAAATTCATCCGAAAAAGACGCCAGTCTCTTTTTGTAGCTCATGCTTCTAGAGTTTTATAATAATAATAATAATTATTATTATGTGTACACATGTTGAAATATAAAGAAAAAGAGCCATTGTTTTCTAGTTTAAAGTGTCTACTACTAGTTACTACTATTTTAACTTTAAGGTCTGTATTGCTTATTACCTAGCAACATAAAAGCCTGAGTGATATAGATGAGTAGATGGTTTGCCGAATTAACATTGAAAGTCTCTTGAAAGCTGTCACATGGCATGAATGTAACCGAATATCAACTCCAGAGAGTCCCTTTTTGTTCATGTGACCTTGACCTCCTTTTCATTTTGTCAGCTGAGTAGGAACTAAAATGAGATGAATGCCCACAGAGGGCTCATACACAGATATTAACTGTTGAACGGGGCTCTCGGCTTTCAGGCATGGCATAAAACCTGTATAGGGTCTTAAATCAATACGAGGAAGTTTGACTGCTCTTTGCAGAAGGTAGTCAGTGCCAGAGAGACTGCAGACTGAATAACAGTGTGAGTCTACCGTGTTTACAAAGATAGATGCTTCCTGTAATCTCTGAGGTGCAAATGATGTTATTGGTTTTTTCAATATTTCAGGGTTCTTTTGTGAGATTCTTGGCCCCTGGATCCCAAAGCACATAAAAAGACCCAGCCTGCTCTGCAGAACATAAATAGTGCAGCTCATTTACTTCAGCATGGTTAAGCCAACGTGACTTCCCTGTTCAGACGGTCTGCTTGCAATCGTCCAATCTGAACGCACCCTCTTATGAAAGAAAGATAAGGTCATTTATATAGCAGCTGATATGCGTCACTGGCTTGTTTTCTCAGTTGAAAGTCCCTGAAAAGCGAAGCAGCTCTTTTGCACAGTTATATATAGCCAATCTTGTGTTTGCAGACTCTCCTTCCTCATTGTGCTGGATGGTTCAAAGTTCATCTTTAAAATGTGTGAGGTACATCTGCCTTGTTGAAAGAAAACTGATTAGACCGGCCTAAGCTGGTCTTCCACCCCTGTTGACTTTTAGAGGGGGTTTATAGACTTTTTAGTCAGCCAGACTGAGACCAGGCTGGATAGAGATGATTGTGTGTGTGCAGCTGGGATTACTGTAGTTATTTTTCTTTTATCCTCTGCTTTCCTTTGATTTTCGGTCCCTTTATCTGTGGTTATACACAAGGGCCGTGTGACTGATACGCACACATCCTCTTTGTGACGGTTGCCAGTGTTTCCTTCTCTTCCTGGCCAGACGCTGCAGCTTCCACCTCACTAGTCCGATATCGAATCAATGTCATTTAAAAAAACGATTAATCGAAAAAAAAAATTTGCCCAGCCCTATACTTTACTCTTGTTAGTTGCTGAAAACACTAGAGTCAAGGAGTTAATAAAGTTTGTAAAGAGTGAAAATCATCAGTGGAGTTCCATGCGCAGACTGTATGCTGGCCTGAAACTTTTTATCATGAATCAGCACAAAATTGGAAAACAAACATGTCCTTCATGCACAAAGGAAAAGTCCCTTCGGGTCAGGCTGCAGACTGGAGTGGGGCAGAAAAGACCAACAGCTGAAATTCTCCAGGCCTAAATCATCTTTACCACTTTATATTAAACATGTGTTGTCCAAAGGGATCATTGGAACCCTGCTAATCTGTCTTGTATGCTCTTCTTTGTCCCTGAATCATTTATCTCAAAGGCACAGTGATGCATTGAAGCTGAGTGTGGGTGATCATTGGCTGGGCTGATTCTTCTCTGATTTCAGCAATGGAGACACCATTGAAATCTATATTCTTACTTATAAATAGATATAAAAATCCTCTGTCCTGTAGAATTTCAGCACTGGATTAATAGACCCTGTCATGACTAGTTAATTATCTTGTGTTAGTGAAGTGTGGTTAACACAAACAAAACAGTCAAGCTATAGTTTGCAGTTCACCTGTCACCTGCATGTCAAATTTGTCAGCTTTGCTGAAGTAAGTCAGGATAGACAGTATTTGTCTTGTAAGCATGCTAATACAATGAGGGTTAAATCAGCAGTTTTTTTTGTTGTTTTTTTTTCTAGCAACCAGCTGCCGCCATCCTGGCTGTGAGTAATTAACTGCTGATTATTGTTTCAAAGTGGGTCTGTACTTGCTAGATTCTTTGTTGAGGTGGTTACAGCACATCATGTTTTCTTTGACATATTGCAAAGAATATCACTTCAGATCAATCTTGAAGGTTTGGAGTCGGCTGGGCAGTGTGATCGTTTATATTGCATAATGCGAGAGATATATGTAAATCGCTAGAGATTTTGCTTTACTATTTTATTTCACAGTAGATGGCCAATATCCACATGGCTGCTTTTGTTTTTTAGCCTCATTTAAGTTTTTTTAAAAATAATTTTTGTACTTTTTCGTGTAATATTTATATATTTTTTATTTCAGCTTTGTTTTAACAAAGTAAAATTTGTAATGGTTTGTTTTAGTTAATAATAATAATAATAACGCTGCTGCACAAGCAGAATTATAAAAAAATATTGCTGCAAAATGTTGCAAATATAATTCAACTGGTGTTTGTGTTTCTGCTATTTCACTACAACGTTGTAAGCTGTCTATTCAATTTGGAGCCTAAATTTAGTTTTACTTTTTTTTTTGGTTCACGGTCTGAATTGAATGAAGACCCAAATAAAGGCAAGAAGTCATGTTTTTCTGTAAAATTGTTCTTTTGGCTGACCAGTGAAGCCTGATTCAGAACAAATGAATTCGAATTGAAAAAATGATTTGTTTTCAAAAGACTTTCAAGCTCCAGAATTACTGGATTTAATAATTCTGATGATTCTTTCATGAAGTGAACTCACTTTGTTCGTATGACAAAATGTAGTTCAAGGTAAAGATATTTTAGGAACACTTTACAATAAGGTTCACTTTGTTGATGTTAGTTAATGCATAAGGTATCGCGAACTATTTTAGAAGCATTTATTAATCTAAATGTATGTTAATTTATAAATATAGTGTTGTTCATTAATGCATTCATAATACAGTGCGTTAGCTAATGTTAATGTATCATTTAAAATCATGGAAAAAATTTATTAATTTAGAACATGCAGAAAATAACATTAAACCAACATCAGTAATATAGTTCATGATAACTAATGCATTAACTAATGTTAATTTAACCTTATTGTTACCAATATTTTAATTACAAATAGTAGGAAAAAAGTAGTTTTTACCCACGTTTCATTAATTTTTTTAAATATTGTATATGTATATTACTATTTACTAAGTGCGCATTTAATTCACTGGTTTATCCATAAATAGGCATTACAGAATGGTACTGAATATAATTCCAGCAAAAACAACCATAGTATGATAAACTTTGATGTAAAATAAGACTAAGATAAGATGAGTTCATATCTCCTACCCTGTAATAGTGCATGTGAAAGAGTCTCCCTGATCTGAACTCCCCCTCGGGCTCAAACCGTTCTCTTCATGAGACTCAAAGACCCGTCTGTGCCTGTAAATGTCTCTGTGCCCAGGACAACACTGCCTTTCACTGCTGCACTAATTTTTCTGTGTGTTGTTTAAGAATTAATATTTGTGTGCTTTTCAATCACAGGGAGCTCAAGCTTTCAGTGTTTTGATTTGCCGTGTACAAAGAAGGCACTGTGTTGAAGCAGCAGGATCAGTATGACTGGGAAAACGTTCCAAAAGCTATCAGCCTTGCACACATAGGGAAACATGGAAATCAGTCATAAAGTTTACATCTATTTACATTTATAAATGCACTTTTCACTGCAGATTGTATTCTGTATGTAACTGTGTATGTGACAAATGTAGCGTGTATGTGACAAATTTACAATATAACGCAGTATGTCATGGATTTTGGCAATTTTTGAATGAATAAATTAAAAGTCGGGCTGTACGCTTGCGAGTGATATGGATTAGTTTCTGTGAATATTGAAGTGCTAAAAGACTATTTCATTTAATTAAAAACTGCTGTCATATACATGAAGAAACTCAATGGTCTTCATGACAACACGTCAAAATAAAAGTTTGGTTTAACTTGAAGAAATCATGACAAATATATTACTACTTCATAGTAGAATGTTCTTTTCAAAGTAATAATAATGCAATTATTCATTTTTTAAAGGAATACCTTGCAACTTTTCTTCCATGTTTTAATTTTAACAGTAAACCTCTGTTGTCCAGCACTTTGTTAAATAATAAAAGGAATTATACATTTTTCAGATGGTTACGTTTTAAAAGATTAGTTAAATTGTTCATGTTTTAGGTCTTTTTTGTTTTGTTTTGTTTTTTTGCCGCCATCTTCAATAATAAAGTAAAAGGGCCCTATTATTTTATAAATAAATAAAAATAAATAAATAGACATGCATTTTCAATTATTAATCCTGAAAAAAAAAAAGAGAAGAAGAACTTGAAAATATAAAAAAAATTCAAAGGGCCCTTGAATACCCATCACAACCCGTGTCTAGTCTTTACCGCATCACTGTTCTCCAGCCTGTGCCTGTCTTTAACCCCGTCTGTCTTGCTATCTGTGCATCCCTGTACACACCGGCAGCATCTGTTGCTCTGTGTTTTCATGTAGGCTTGGTTCCCGCTGAATGTGACCGGTATAGTGACCCAGTCATTTCCAAGCACTCATGCTGACTAATCTTTGAGCAGCTGTTCAGGAATGTCAGGGGCAGATCGCTCTGATCACACTGATGCAGTCCGTTTGACAGATGATGGAGTCTGTGTACGTTTTGGAAGTAGTGAGCTTTTTTGCCCAAGGCCAAAGATGCTAAATGGATCCACCTTAAACTAAAGAAAAGATCCATCTCTATTGCAGCACACCTGAAGCAGCCTTTAAGTGAAATCTTGGAGACGTACGTGTTGTATCTGGGCAGGAAGGGCTACCAGTTTGAAAAGGTTGCCATTAGGGCTGCACGATAAATCGAAATGGAATCGAGATCGCGATTCGACAGAAGCTGCGATTGTCCACTGTTCTCCAGCCTGTGCCTGTCTTTAACCCCGTCTGTCTTGCTATCTGTGCATCCCTGTACACACCGGCAGCATCTGTTGCTCTGTGTTTTCATGTAGGCTTGGTTCCCGCTGAATGTGACCGGTATAGTGACCCAGTCATTTCCAAGCACTCATGCTGACTAATCCTGACTAATCTTTGAGCAGCTGTTCAGGAATGTCAGGGGCAGATCGCTCTGATCACACTGATGCAGTCCGTTTGACAGATGATGGAGTCTGTGTACGTTTTGGAAGTAGTGAGCTTTTTTGCCCAAGGCCAAAGATGCTAAATGGATCCACCTTAAACTAAAGAAAAGATCCATCTCTATTGCAGCACACCTGAAGCAGCCTTTAAGTGAAATCTTGGAGACGTACGTGTTGTATCTGGGCAGGAAGGGCTACCAGTTTGAAAAGGTTGCCATTAGGGCTGCACGATAAATCGAAATGGAATCGAGATCGCGATTCGACAGAAGCTGCGATTAGTTAGCCATTATTGTTGAAATTCTATTTGGTGTAGTTTGACAACTCTACATTCAGGGCCTTGTGGAAAATCTGACAAATAAAAATTGAATTAATTGTAGAATGTAGAATTTCACTGATTTTTGAAATTCATTTGAAATGAGATGCTTATTTAACCTGTCAAATACACACAAACTCACAGGGCTTCACTCATTTTTCTGCAAAAAAAAAAAAAAAGTCCAATTCAATAACAATAAAAATAATAGTAATATTTTTAATAATTTAAATTAGCCATGTGTTTTTGGTTAAATTTATGTTATTAATTCACTTAATTTGACACCCTTTTTGACTACAAGCCTAAATATACAATAACAGAAAAAAATAGTGGAAATCATAATGGAACTTGTGAAAAATAAAACTGATTTCTTGTGTCTTATTTATTTATTGCAAATTGGTTTGTTTGGACAGTCCATTAAAAAACTAGCACTATTAAGTGACCACTTTTTCAAACGGCAGTGCTGCTCTGTATGTGGCATTTCATCATTTTTGTATGTTGTTGAGTTTATATTTGCTACATTTTTTATTTTTTTTAAATAGAAAAATAGCTGTTTCTTAGTATGTTGATTCAATGTGTAGTTTTAGTTTTATTGATTTATATGTGACCCTGGAGCACAAAAGCAGTCTTAAGTCGCTGGGGTATATTTGTAGCAATAGTCAACAATACATTGTATGGGTCAAAATTATAGATTTTTCTTTTATGCCAAAAATCATTAGGATATTAAGTAAAGACCATGTTCCATGAAGATATTTTGTAAATTTCCTACAGTAAATATATCAAAACTTAATTTTTTGCACCCTCAGATTCCAGATTTTAAAATAGTTGTATCTCGGCCAAATATTGTCCTTTGTCAGCTTTCAGATGATGTATAAATCTCAATTTCGAAAAATTTACCCTTGTGACTGGTTTTGTGGTCCAGGGTCACATGTTTAAGTTTAATGCTGTCACGCTGATTGAGATCTGCTTCTGTGCAAGAAAGAAGCAACCATTCTAAGAATTCTAAAAAAAACACATTAACGTCCCTCTTAATATAGTTGCAGTGTAGTTAGCTCCTTTTTGTTAGTAACCCATAGTTTTAGTTTAACTACTGCCAAGCTACAGTTTCAGCTGAATATCCCAGCGCTTCACAGAGGAGGCTGTGATCTGTTTTTCAGAGCAGCTGGTCCCAGCAGAATGTCCTGAACGCAGCAGATAGATCAGATTAAACCCCTCGCCCCTATTTACACAAATGACAGAGAACAGGACCGACCGGGTGCGTGTTTGTACAAGAGCCTGTAATACATTTGACAGTGTCCCATACACAACATGAATAGCACTCCGTTATGTGCATATGTTTCTGTAATGGCTCTCATGTACCTGTTCTGAAGAGCTGTTGCCGTTCCTGATGTGATGGTCTGTGCTGCAGTGGTTTGTAATGGGTGGCAAAGGAAGGGCTGCCACACACATAATTACTGCTCGATAAGATCAGAGGCATGCTGAGGGCACTGAGCAAAGCTTCACTGGAGTGGTATTATGCTGGTGGTACACAACAACAGTGCTGAGACTCGATTTCTGCAGGTTCTGTTTTCATGGCATCGATTTCTTGCTGAATTATGGATTTGTTTTGGCACTGTGCAGTGTGCACCAGCAGTGCTAAATAACTTTGAAATTGAGAAAGTTTCTGAAATTCAAACTTTGAGCCTAGAAGGATTCATGGAAGGAATATGTTTTAAGAATAGAAGGAATGTGCTTAAGAATATGTTTTCATACTGAAACCATATTTTATTATTGAAGCTTTCAAACATTAACTATTTTAAGTATTTCTAATGGTAACACTTTACACTCTTAAAAATAAAGGTGCTTCAAAAGGTTCTTCAAGCGATGCCATAGAAGAACCTTTTTTGGTTCCACAAAGAACCATTCAGTCAAAGGTTCTTTAAAGAACCATCTCTTTCTTACATTTTTATAATCTGAAGAACCTTCTTTCGCCACAAAGAAGCTTTTGTGAAACAGAAAGGTTCTTCAGATATTAAAGGTTCTTTATGGAACCATTTAGACAAAAAGGTTCTTCTATGGCATCATGAAGCACCTTTATTTTTAAGAGTGTACAGTATATTTTAAGTCTTCTGAAGTCATACGATATTACAAAGGTGTTTTAGTGCCACATAAAAAATAATAGTAACTAGTTGCTTATTGGCATGCATATTACTAGCATATTGGCTGTTCATTAATACTTATAAAGCACATATAAATGTCTTATTCTGTATGACCATATTCTAGATCCCTTAATCCTACCCCATACCTAAACTTAGTTTATCCTTACTATTCATAAACAGCAAATTAGGAGTTTGAGGCAAAAGTCGTAGTTAATAGCGACTAGTCCCTAACTAGTAATTGGTCCCTAAACTAAAGTGTGACCATTATAATGTATTAAAAATGATCAGCTGGTGCGACTAAATTTGGTTGGAAGGTCCTCTAGTGTTACTACAAAAAGTAAAAATAAACAAAAAATGCATTAAGGAATAGAATAATTTAGTAAAGACACTTTTTTTTTTAAATTTTTTTAAATTTTTTTATTAGTTTAAAACTTGTGTGTTATGTTCTTAGAAATGTATTCATGTTGGTTTCATAGGATTTTGATAAACTTTTATACCATTTTCAAGAGGTTTAAATTTAATGAATGTAATTTTAATGTCAATAAAATGTAATGTGTTGTTGCCATCAAATGAAAAGTAATAACATATTTTCTTTACATTTTTAACTACATATGAGTGTACACATCTTAAACAACACTTGTTTTTCAGGATTTAAATTTTAAAAATAGATAGTGATATATTTCTTAGTTTGTGGAGAGTTTCTCCACCTGACATTTTACCACCTGAAATCTTGCCTTTTCATGGAAAATTGATCAAAATATTGCACATTTTAGAAGACCTAATGACTGTGGTACTCGCTATGATATAATTCCTGTATTGTTTTGTGTTTCTTTGAATCCTAAAATAGTTAGTATCATTAGTATAAAAAATGACTGTTGAATATGACTATTATTATTGCTAGTTGTGTCCTTTAACGTTTAAGTTAAAGGTGCTGCTGCCACAATCTGTACAGCTTCGCTCTCATATGTTAGTTTGTAGCCCTACATATTGTTTCTCAACTTCTCTGTGACTGCTAGAGACTGTAAAGATGTTGTCATAGCACTGCGCCTGCATACAGGAAGGAAAGCGATGCTTCCTACCATGTGTTTTCAACTAGTCATGGTGCAGAGAAGAGGCTAGAATTACCATCAGCTCACGTTTGCTCATTGTTTGTGGAAAAGACAGGAACATGTCATGCAGCCAGTCTTAAACATCCGTTTTGTGACCTCTTCAACATCCTGTACTTCCTAATCCACTGCATCAAAATGATATTGTTTTCATAATTGAGGAAGTAGAATAAAGCCTTTCGACTCGAGCAATAAACCCACATGATGCAGCATGCTGCGATTTATATATAGGCCTATGCTGCTGATGTGGCGGTCTTTGCACCATTCGGGGGCCATTGTCCTGGTGCATAATACAGTGATGGGGCATTTTTAACTCCAGGTTCTACAGTATGCTGTGCTGTAATCCAGTAAATGGCACAGAACGTCCCAGCAAGCATCATTGTGACCACAAACGCTGTCCTTGCTGCATGTGTATGTTGCATTTCTATGTTTGCATCCAAAAACTTTTGTTTCATTTGTTGCATTTTGCATCTTTCATTGAAAGGCACATTAGAAAGAAAGCATGAAAAATTAAATGTGGGGGGAAGAGGAAGTGTTGCCTGTTTGGCTGCCATGTTTGTTACTGTTCTCTAGCCGCTGTGTGTAACTTTTACATACTAAAATTTTAAATAATAACTTTATGGTCATACACAAACTTTTTAAAAGACCACACTTTTTGTCCCTATCCACAGGCCAGAAGACCCTGCAGCACAGCGGGGATGTGCTTGAGACCCAAGTGATAGTCAACCCATCTCATGATTTGGTTTGTTCAGAGGTGAGTGTTGAAGTGCTTTGTGTAGTTTGCAATACATTAATATCAACACACATGCACTTAGTATAATTGGTTTGCAGCTGGAATTTAAATATAGTCGGCAATACAAAATTAAGCAACATTGTGTTAATGATTTTTTTTTAATTGGGCTTTTATATTTTTCCAATTAGACATCATTAAGGTGTGCTCACATTAGCGAAATTTCAGCGACATTTAATGTGCAAAAAGCCCATTGTCAATAGCATTGAGTCAAGAAATCTGTATGATGAACTTTTTCACCCTCACACAAAACGACCGCAAGAATTCCTATTTGTATGACTGGATTTTGCCCGAGAAATTTCACAGAGCAACGGTAAATGTTACCGCACCTTTAGTCTAGTTTTGCAAATTGGAAGACTAGGAAGGATTCACAAATATGATAGTTTTATGTTAAGAAATCAAGCCATATCGGAGCAGATATATATTGAATATAATTTAAATACTAGTAAACTCTTTATTAAAAAAATGATCTATGCTTTCACATTTTCTAATGTCTCTCCCAGTTCTAGCTTGCACTATTCTAGACGATGTTTGAAAGTTTGTATTGCTTAGCTTTTCTTGTGTTGTACCCAACCCTAAATCAAAGTCGAATTAACATTTGCTTTTATGATGTAAATTATTTACCTGGATTCCCTTTTGTTTAAACTGTTAAATATTGGCTTTGCTGTACGATTACACACACATGCATCCTCAGTTCCTTCACTGTTCTCTGTCCACTGCAGTTCTTCTCTAATAAATGTATGAAAGCTATTTGACTGGAATTTACTCTGCGTTAGACCGTGTAAATACAGGGGAAATGTTGACACATTCCTTGAAGTACCTTGTTCGGTTATATTTGCTCTTGATATTTATTTGCTATCCAGTGCAGCAACCAAGTGTCCTCTTTTAAACGTTCTTAACATTTTGTACTTAGGGTCTCGATTTGTGGTCTAAATACTGTTGGTACAGTTTATTATGAGCTCTCTAACAAAATTTAAGTGCAACAGTCATTGCACATTTTAATGCTTGTCTTTATTTTCATAGGTTCGTCGGCTCATTTCCGATACGTCTCTTCACAAGCTGCTAATTCTTGCTGGACGATGCGTTGAAGACACTGGAGACGTTGTGTTACAAATAGGGTCTTTTTCATTAAATGACTTTATCCAGATATTTACAGATCAAGAGGTCAGTCAAGCATTTGTCAAACAAGTTGGTTATTTTGTAATTGTACTCTTTTAATAGTCAGAAACAATTTACATATTAACTAACTGTAATAAATATTATTATTCAAATTTTTTGTTCTCAAAACAGATTGGAGATCTTCTGACCTCTGCAGACCCTACTCAGAAAGCCAGCCTAACTCTGAGCTGTCCCGAATCTGGGATGTGGAAAAATTCTCAGTTAGAAAAACATAATTTGCAAGATTATATAGAAATTAAAACCAACCCTCCGTTAGTGCTCCCAGAGATGGAGGGCCTTCAGGAGTTTACAGAGTATCTGTCAGAGTCTCTTGAACCTCAGTTGCCTTTTGACTTGCTCAAGGCACCCAGTACAGTTGGCTTCCTAAAACTGTCCCGTCCCTGCTGCTATGTGTTTCCTGGAGGAAGAGGTGACAGTGCCTTCTTTGCTGTGAATGGTTTCAATGTCTTAGTCAATGGGGGGTCTGATTCTCGATCCTGTTTTTGGAAACTGGTGAGACATCTAGACCGAGTTGACTCAGTATTGCTCACCCATGTCGGTGTGGATAATCTACCTGGTATAAACAGCCTACTTCACAGAAAAGTGGCTGAACAACAAGAAGAGGAGTCCGCTGGATCGCAGAGCAATGAAGACTGGCAGAGGAATCTGATATCTCCAGAAATAGGGGTTGTATTTTTCAATGCTTCAGAAAGACTCAAAACATTACAGAGTGACTCCAAGGTCCTTCGAAGTTGTGATCAGGGTTCCCTAACATTACAGCATTTAGAAAAGTTGTCAATTTTTCCAGAACAGCTCAGTCGCTCTGCTGGGCCAGCTGTCGAGCCGGTAATTCTTTTCCAGAAGATGGGTGTAGGTCGACTAGATCTTTATGTACTCAATCCAGTCAAAGGTAGCAAAGAACTAGAGGCTTTCTTGCAAACTTGGCCTGCCAGCACTCCGAATATAAAAACCTCAGAAATCCCTCTAGAGTGTATGGTGTCCATATGTGCACTGTTGGTATGGCATCCAGCTAATCCTCGAGAAAAGATCATTCGTGTTCTGTTTCCTGGGTGCACTCCAGAATCCAAGATCTTCGAGGGTTTAGGAAGACTAAAGCATCTAGAGTTCCTCAAACACCCAGAAGTTAGTTTGAAAGACCTTGAGGCATCAAAATTGGATAAACAGCCAAAGCGTGCTGAGAGCAAGGAAAGCCTTAAGAGTATTTCCAAAGAGTCTCGACCTGGTAGTGCCTCACTCAAAGACAAGGTAAGCAAAGTAGATTTGAAAAGGCAAGACACTAAAACAAAGATTAAACCCACTAATGACACCGTTCCAAAAGAAGGGAAAGAGGGTGAGGAAAAAGCGAAGCCAAAAGATGATGTGAAACAAATAACTTCTAAGCCTGAAAAGCAAGTGGCTAAGAAAGAACCTGCTAAAGATGAGAAAAAGGAAGTTAGGAAGAAAGAGGAAAGGCCACCGACAAGTATTGCAAAGAAAGATGAGAATGTAGAGAAAAAGAAAGAACCCTTGAAAAAAGATCTTGGTGCAAAGCCCAAGAAAGATATTAAACCTGATTTGAAAAAGGAGATTAAGAAAGAGGTCAAACCAGAAGACAAAAAAACTACCAAAACTCTTGGCAAGGATGTTAAGAAACACCACGCATATGATGAATCAGAGAATCACCTCTTTGGACCACAGATTGACATCCTTCCACATGATGTCGATCTATGTCTGGTTTCACCCTGTGAGTTTAAGCATCACAAATCTCCAGAGAACCAACAGGGACTCTCTTCGGAGGTTCCTGCTCCAAGTCCTGACCTCTCTCTGGAGCCCGGTAGACTGCCCTACCAGTGCAGTAGTAGCGATCATCAGTCTCTGGAAGGTCAGGAGACGACATCCTCTGTCAGCGTCTCTCTCATCTCGGTTTCTGATTCTGATGTGCCACCAGCCACTGAAGAGTGTCCCTCCATTACTGAGGACTTGGACTCTGATGAGGACCCTAGTGACATCTTTCCACCACACCATCCTCACGACCATCCTAGCAGTCATTCGTTACACCACAATTCCCAGCATGTCTCTGAAGACCCTCCACCTGCCCCAATGAAAGATTTACCTCCACTGCCACCCCAGCCCGATGCCTGCATGGCTGACCCAGAGGCTGATGGTCAGGGTAGATCTTCCAAGAATGTAACATCAAAGACCAAAAAATCAGCGCCTGTGTCCACAAAGACTGCACCTGCAAACATCGTAACACAGGGTGGGAAGACAAAGACTGGTGCTCCAGTGTCTGCCAGTGGAACTATTCGGCCAACATCCAGTCTGGACACCAGACCTGCATCCCGCAATGCTGTTAGCGGATCTAGACCAGTGCCTTCAAAGTCCTCATCCAGTAAGTGCTCATTGTTTCTTCCAGAAATATATGAATTGTACATATGTTGGGGATCGGTCAGGATATTCGCCTAGTCAATTCGATAGGCTTTTTTTAGTGATGATAAATAAAAAGGGCAGGAATTTAAAGGCACTATTTAGAGGATTTTAGTATGCCAACTGTAATTTTTGGATTCTCTAATAGGTTGCATCTCTAAAGCCATGTTCACACTATCAGTCCTTATCAGATTATTTGTATATCCACTTGGATTCTGATCTAAATGACTGACTGTCCTCACGGTGTATCGCAACTGTTCAGATTCGATTTGTGTGTCTCGTGACGCTGTTTCGTTTAACGGAATATCTGCATTGGTTTCAATGGCAATGACGGTGCATTGGTATGCCTACGGTAAAAATATGATTAGATTCCAATCGGATATGCACAGAAATTGGAACTGGACTTACAATCTGGACAAGACTTAAATTCATGCCCTTAAAAGTGCTACTGCTACAACTATGTTGTTACAGCTTAGGTAACACATCAACAACTGCCTTCAGGAATGAATTTCAAGACAATCAATCTGGTCAATGCAAACCAGTGGCCTGAGCTCCGGGAATATATTGTCCATTTGTAACTCTGGTGTTTAATGAATCTAATGAAAGTTTTAAACTTTGAATCGAACCAACCAGCTCCACATAAATAGCAGCATTACATTTCATGAAGTGTTTAAAAAACAGAAAAAAACTAAGGCCCAAAGCTTTCCATTTATATAGGAATGAACGAATGTAACGAATATGAAGTATAGAGGGAGGGAGATCAGTAAATGTGCTTTGAAGTCCAAATGTGCATAATGTTTTTGCTTCCCTTTGCAGGTTCTGTCAGTGCAAATTCAAGTTCAGTACCCATCTGTTTGGACTTGGCATATTTGCCCTCTGGCTCAGCAGCTTCCACTGTCGATGCGGAGTTTTTCCGGCGCCTCCGTTCATCCTGCTATATAATTAGTGGAGATGAGCCACAAAAGGAAACAGTCATGAAATCTATTCTCAACTCTCTTTTAGAGGGCAAAGCATCCTGGCCAGATGTGCAGGTAAGTAGATGTTTTATTTATACATCACCTTTCCCAATCTCAAGGCGCTTTACAAAAGGAATAGTTCACCCAAAAATGAAAGTTCTGGTCAAAGTTTACTCATCCTCATCATGTCAGCTCCCTGCACAGCTTGACAGTCCCACAAAAGACAGACAGTTACTTGACCGTTGTACTGATTAATAGTTGTTTAATAGTTTTTCCGTTCACCTGCAGGTGACTTTGATCCCCACGTTTGACTCGCTGACTATGCACAGCTGGTACCAGGAGACCCATGAGCGGCAGAGAGATCTAGCGATCACGGTACTTGGGAGCAACAGCACCGTAGCCATGCAGGACGAGACCTTCCCAGCATGCAAAGTGGAGTTTTAAAGACACCTGAAGAATCACACCCCTGCCTGTAACTAGAGCACTTCTGTTCACTCTCACAACGTTGTCTCTCATTTTCTTCACACATTTTATCTTGAGCAGCAGGATGAAGCATTTCAGATGAATTCATCAGGAATTACTTCTTATCTGTAATGTTAACATCTACTCTAGCTGCTTATTAAAATGTTGTGAATTCTGTGTGAACAGGGTAGACAATGTTGCCTTTTCTTTTTTTTATGGCTATTTTTAGCAGTTTTACATTTGTCCATGTAATTGTATTCATTGCATCTTGTTGATTATCTAGAATGTTGGAGTTTCATCTGAACAATTTACCATATTTCATGGTCCTACATACACATTTTGCACAGTTTAGATGCCCATTAGAAAACTATGGCAGAATAGAGATAGACATCTGGGTTAACACTTGATATGTTTGTATTCCAGCGTTTCACTGTACAGATCCTGCACTAAATGATACAGTGTTTTTTTTTTTTCACCTTCTGCATGTTTGTTTTCTGTTAAGGAGGAATTGAAGGCAATTAAAATATTATGTTTTGTTTATCAGAACTGAACCAGCTTTGTCAATAAATGAACAGACACTGAGCTATACCAGCTAGATAAACACTTCTCTAGTACAGTAATTTGTACCAATTCGATTTTCAGATTAAAACACAGCAGAAAGTGTGGTTTCAAAATGTAAGCAAGATCAAATTATTTTAGTGCGTCAAATGACTTGCGTGAACACTATGTGGCAAAGTAAAGTATTTTTGTGAAGCATATTTGAAAATGTATGTAGTGAAAGCCAAGAAACATTTTAATTCTGCATTTATTGAGAGTGGAGAATATTATAGTCTTTGCTTTTTTTTTGTTTTGGAAGAGACAACATATATGTGTATAAAGCTGAATGCCTTATTGTTCTTGCCATCATCGACAAACACTAACGCAGCATGTCATTCATGACACTTAATTTGAGTTATGAATACTTTTTGCTGATTACCTTGCTTTACTGCTTTTTATTGAATGTCATGTAGACAAGCTCAACCAATGTGTACGTTGTCACAGCAATGGCTGCTATACTTTCTGAGAAATAAAATGTTTAATTGTGATCAGGTGGAGACATTTCCATAAAAAAAAAACATTTTCTTGTTTGTTTGGACTGTTATAAAACCATTAATGGAACAGTTAAAGCTTTACCTTTTCAAAATTGCACTTTTATTTTATTATATATATATTTTTTCTTTCCTGAGCCGATAAAATTATTTTTCTGAGGTACAAGTACTGTTTCAGAATTGTTTTGTTTAAAATGCTTTAAACTTTGGAGAAACCAGCCAAAAAAGAATAGAAAGTGTGTTAAATTTCACTAACAGGCGTATATGTTTCAGTACTGAATTCCAAAATGTAAGTGTATTTTCAAATGTTAAATAAAATTGATAAATTAAGAATGAAAGTACAGTTGTGTGTGTGTTTTTTTTGTCTTTCTGCAGTGGTGTAAGGACTCTGAAAACTGCACATTTCAAGGTCTGTGTTAATTTGTATGACACACCTACAACCGTATAAATGTGAATAACAAAAATGAATCATTTGGTTTGAATTTTATTTATTTTTTTAACCCAGATAAAGACCTAAGTGAAAAGATATTCATCAAAGGCCAGAAATGTATTTGTGCAAGCTTAGGTTTCAAGTTCGTGCAAAACTGAATGAAATTTCGTCCTGAAAGCTGGTCAATACTGTTGTGTTGAAATATATTATTCAGCACCTATGCATATATAGATAGGCCTAATTTCGCGTAGTAGAATCATCTTCTGGAACAATATGCGTCTTTAGCGAATTTAGTAATACAATAAAGTCTTAAAGACATGCTATATTTTTCCTTAGTATTTTATTGTGTTGCTGACTTATATTGGCTTTCCCTTTAACAATAATCTATGGAATGGCAGCCCTCTACTGGCCAGATATCAGACGTACACAACATACAGTACTTTCGTTTTCTCAGTATTGAAACACTTCACTTGGTTGCTCGGCTCTCTTTCACTTCATTGTTGTGAGTATGTTTTAATTTGATTTGCAATGACCTACCTGAGTTACTGCGTTCCTCACAAAAATACCACGGTAAACGTAGTTATAACTCTGGTAATGCACTACTGAACGGTTCTGAAAGTTTAAGAGCGATCTGACATTTAGTCAGTGATTCAAACTAGTCACATCTCGACTCCTTAAAAGACTTTACTGAGGTAAGTTATGTTAATAATCAAAAAAGTACAATCGTATTCTGTTTTAATTTGATTGCACTGACCGCACTCGTACATCTCGGAGACGTCTATTTGACGTCTGCATTACATCTGCAAGACGTATTTTTTAGAGGGTTTGCTCATCTGCGATACGTCTATAGGAAGTTTCCTATCAGATGTCAAACAGACGTTTAGAAGATGTCTTTAAGATATTTATGATTTAGAATGTTCAGTATGTAAAACTGACATCTTAGAGACGTCTATCAGATGTTTGTACACAGCAGATGCTTTCCAGATGAAGCGATCTTTAGCAGACGTCTTGCAGACGTACGTGTGCTCTCTGGGGACCTAATTATGTTCCTCACAAAACAGTTAAAACTCTTAACTATTATACACTACTTAAAGATTCTGAGAGTTTTCAACTCTCCAAAATGACTTTACCAAGATAATATGCTTTTAATTTAATGTCAGTAGTCAAATCTTATTGTCAAAAGTCTGTCATTTTTCGCTTTTTTTCTAC